TCCCGTGGGGGCCTCTGGAAATACTTATTCCAGCGGTACCCCCAGAACCCCACTTCCACAAGCACCAGGGACGATGAGCCCTCTCTTATCCTGTAACAATTTCCTGTTGTTATTTACACTGCTGCCTTTTTGTTGTTGTTGTTAATCCTCACCCGAGGATATTTTTTCCATTGGTTTCTAGAGAGAGTGGAAGGTGGGGGAGATACAGAGAGAGAGAGAAAAACATCGATGTGAGAGAGACACGTTGATTGGTTGCCTCCTGAACACTCCCTGCCCAGGGCAGGGATTGAGGGGTGTGCCCTTGACAGGGAATCTAACCCTAACCCTTCAGTCTATGGACACTCCAACCACTGAGCCAAATCGGCCAGGGCTGTCATTTTTATTCTTATACATAAACCTTTGATGAACATCTCTGAGAATATAGGTCTTTCAAATTTTGACTGTTTTCTTAAAATACAGTCAGATATATTTGGTCAAATCTGTGACCATTTCTCTGGCTTTGGGGTGCATTATCTTGTAATTACTTGTGACTCTAAATGCAGGATGTCCCTCTACTATCTGCCTCTCTTATCTAAAGGATGCCAGCAGAGATTTTAGTACATCCTTGCTGAAATCCATACAAACTAAATACAGGTTCCTTGGTCTATGAACCTCGTAACCTTATAACTGTTAAAATACTTCCCACTTGGGGTGGGGAACACACAATACAATATACAGATCATGTATATTATGAATTGCACACCTGAAACCTATATAATTTTATTAACCAGTGTCACCCCAATAAATTCAATTAAAAATAAAATTGGCCCTAACCGGTTTGGCTCAGTGGATAGAGCGTCGGCCTGCGGACTCAAGGGTCCCAGGTTCGATTACAGTCAAGGGCATGTACCTTGGTTGTGGGAATATCCCCAGTGGGGAGTGTGCAGGAGGCAGCTGATCAATGTTTCTCTCTCATCGATGTTTCTAACTCTCTATCCCTCTCCCTTCCTCTCTGTAAAAAATCAATAAAATATATTTAAAAAAATAAAAATAAAATTGAAAATGAACCAAAAAATTAAAGAGACATATAAATGTTTCTCACTTCACAGGGGGGATGTGAAGATGCAACATATTAATGCACAGCAGCTTAGACCAGGGTCTGGCATGAGCGCACCCGGTCGCTGTCAATCCCCGCTCTTGGTGTCACCGTATAAGTGACACCAGTCTGGTCCTGTGGCTCTCTGTGGGCCCCTAGTGATCGCCACTTTCCTTGCTGGGGCTCAGGGGTTAGGTTTTGTAAGGTTATTGTCACGTGACTAGTGGCTTTTCACTGCTAAGAGATTCTTGTTTGCTTTGTAGGTTTGTTTCTTTTCAAATACAGGTTCATAAAGAGAACTATGAAGTGAAAGATGTGGAGTCTTTCTCTGATACTTACGGCCTCAGATATTAAAAAGACACCTTTAGGTGGGTAACAGAAAGGAGACAAGGGCCCTAGCTGGTTTGGCTCAAGTGAATAGAGCATCGGCCTGCAGACTGAAGGGTCCAGGGTTCAATTCCGGTCAAGGCCACTTGTCCGGGTTGCGGTCTCCATCCCCAGAGGCAGTGACCAATGACTCTCTTTCATCATTGATGTTTATATCTCTCCCCTTCTCCCTTCCTCTCTCTGAAATCAATACCAAAAAAAATAAAAGTCTGTGTGTTTACCCATCATTCTACCCTAAAAAAAAAAGGAGACGCTGGGATTTGCAGAACATTTATAGAGCTACATATAGCACAGGTGCCCCAAATGCTGCTGCCATCACTGAGAGCAGCAGCAGGAGGAAAGTGTGAACAGGACAGGAAATCACATGGAAAAGGGGAACCATGGGGAGAACGGCAACAGGAGTCCAGGGCTGGTACACAAAACGTGGCACAGGCTCTGCTTTCCAGTTGCTGAGTGGGCGACAGATCTGCTGACATGTCTAGAGGCCCAAGTAAATATTTGTTACATAATTCATAGGAGTTTTGGGAGACGGTTCTCCTGCGAATCCCCTTCGGTTTGTGTCATTAATATCTTCCCCCCTTTTGTTTGGAAACTGGGATGTCCTTTGTCTCCAGTTTCTGTGTCTCTCCTCCAGGGAGTCAGGTGGCTTGGAGCGCTCGCTGGCAAATGATCTCATTTTACTTCTCCACGTGAGATCAGGAGACATGGACTAACTCAAAGCAGCACAGGGCTTCCTGAAAACGTCACGCCTCCAATGCTAGGCTCCCATTCCCTCTTACCAGTGTTCATCATAAAATAAATCTCGTACTGCAAAGAAAGACAACCATGAACTATTTTAAATCTAACGCGATCGAATATAAAGAGTTGGATATATACTATGTAGAGAAACAGGCACTCTCAAACATTATCAGTAAGAATACACATCTGGCCATAGCCGGTTTGGCCCAGTGGATAGAGCGTTGGCCTGCGGACTAAAGGGTCCCGGGTTCGATTCTGGTTAAGGTCACATGCCTGGGTTGTGGGCTCGATCCCCAGTAGGGGGCATGCAGGAGGCAGCCAGTCAATGATTCTCTCTCATCACCATTGATGTTTCTGTCTCTCTCTCCCTCTCCCTTCCTTTCTGAAATCAATAAAAATATATATTTTAAAAAATGTACACCTTCACTGCCTCTTTGGAGGAAGGAAAATTTGGCTACATTGGTCAAATTTCAAAATGCCCACACCCTTTGACCCAACAAGCCCACTTCCAGATCCGACAGGCAGAGGCACCCAAAGCTGTGCACAGTGATTGCACTGACAGGCTCTTCTGGGGGCGGGGCCGGGGGGCGGGATTTACAGGGAACTTATATGCACATATGCACAGCCCATGGACACAGACAATAGTGTGGGGAAGGCTTGGGAGGGTGGGTGTGGGGAGGAGGGGGTCATAAAATGGGGACAATAACAACACTCCCCTCACAGAATTGCCCTACGGGCATAGAGAAAAGGTAGACATGAACTGAGCAAGGATGAGGAGCCAGGGACAGAAACTCACCGGGGCAGGAAACCCGGATGCCTAGCAAGTGCTAAACAGGGAACACAAGGGCCTCGCCCCCAGGGCAACCTGCCCTCCCCTGGCTTATCACTGGTCAGGCGGGTCAGACCCCTGACCTTTTCCTCCCTAAGATAACATCTAGGCCTTGGTTGTATTTCGCTCCAGGCCCCAGGAAAGCAGAAAAAAACAGACAAGGGATGCCAGGCTGCCTGGGCACCAGCTGCATTGACTAATGACCCCCTGCCCTGGCACCGACCAATCAGTGGAGACCACGACCCTGAAAGAGCACAGCTGGGAAGCTGATGAAATTCTAACAAGACCCTCCCCTAAGATTTCCAGCTGTGAGAGGGAGATAAATACACTCAGGATGAAGGACCAGTGCCTGCTCTCCCTCCAAGGAGCACAACTGTGCCATCCCCCACAGGCACGGTCCCCCAACCTCTCAGGGACCCCATGAGACTTGCAACCAGGGGAGCCGTGGGCAGCAGTAGCTCATTCCAGGCTCACCCCTGACCCTGTCTCCAAGCCCTCTTCTCTCTGCCCCCCCCCCCCCCCAACCCCAGACCAAAGCAGCCCCGCCGGGCTCTCCTGCTGCTTCCTCTAAGCCCGTCCTTGTGTCACTGCCCTAAGTGTGACACCCTCGACCCAACACCCTTTGGCTCAGTGCTGTGCAGCCTCTCCTCTTGTTGAGTGTTTTTCCTTCCACGTCCCGCGTGGAGTAGGGTTCGGTATCTGAAAGAGGAGCTGCACAACAATGAGAGAAAAAGACACGAGATAATTTTGCAATATTGGAGGACCAGGCGGGCAAGTCCAACTCAAGAAGAGGGACTTCCACCCATGCTCAGGCTGCTCCAAGCTTTTATTGATCTGGAGTAGCCCTTAGGGTAAGGAAGTTTCAATGACACACAGATCAGCAGACAATTTCCAGGAATAGACAAAGTATCTGATTAACTCATCAATAGGCAGAGTATCTGATTAGCTCATCAATAGATTTCCGGGAGTATCTGATTAACAATAATCAACAAGGATCTACATAAGTATCTAAGGAATTAAGGGAACTAAGGTGGGGATGCTTCAACTATTATTACCTAAATTAACTGAGTGGTTCCTAGATTCACTGGGTGGTGCACAGCCCTGACCTTTGCTAGGACTTTCAAGCCCTGACCTTTACTAGGACTTTCAAGGGCTACTAGCTTTTGGGGGGTCTCTGTCTAAACTCAGCTAGTGAAGACAATGAATGGACTCCGGCACCCTCTGATCTCCCAGCCCCCTTTCCTTAAATAATTCCGTTTTTCCCTGCTCCCGTCTGAGATGGCTGGTTAGCCAAAGAAGGCGCTCAGCATCAGCAGTTTCTACCCTGTTCCTTGTTTCCCATCACAGAGCGGACCCTCCTCCTGGAGGCCTTTTTAAAGGCGGCAGTAAAATAGCAGGCGTGTAGCAAGCCCTTGGGACAGGCAGCTCTAGCGCTGCACGCGTTGGTTCTCCGGGCACCTGCAGCAGCCTCTGCGGTTACACGGTTATCTTAGGCACGAAAGCCGCGGCCCAGAGAGGCCAGGCAACCCCCGAGGCGGCTCAGCGGGGCTGGGACTCCACCCGGCGGCGGGCCTGCCTCCGCGCCGGCTCCGCACGCCTCCCCAGCCTCCCCCGGCCGCCAGCCCGCGGGCGGGAGGAGGGAGCGAGCCCCCCGCTGCGCAGCAGCCTGCGGGGCCGAAGGGGTTACTCCCACCGAGATGCCGCGCCCCGCTCCTAGAGCGGCTCTGTGGGCGGGGGCAGGCGCACTTCCGGCCGCGCGGGGCTCGGGGCACCCGGCCGGTTCGTCCCTGCTGGCGGCGCTCGGCTCCCGGCCTCCCCGCGAGGGGCCCGTCCCGGCCGGGCGCGGGGGAGGGGCAGGGCCCTGGCCGAGGCACCGCTGCCCTCCCGTCCCGAGGGGGAGGCCTCCGGGCGGGGAGGGGAGGGGAGGGCCGGCCCGCGCAGACCCGGAGCGTGCGGGCGGGAGACGCGCCTCCCTGCACTTGGCCGCCGCAGTGCATTCTGGGCCTCCAGGGGCCCGGCCGGGAGGCACGTGGTGGCGGCGATCCTCCCGGCAGGGCGGGCGGCCTGTCCCTCCGAAGCAGGCGCTCCGCCAGCCCTTGCCCGGACCTCGGGCCCTTCCAGAGCCCGGGTAAGAACGCACTCGCTCCCCTCCCGTCCCCAGGGCTGGCCGGGCCGCCGCCTCTTTATGCCCCTCCACCGTCTCCCGAAGTCAGTGTCCTCGTCCCCATTTTGTAGGCTACTTGCTTATCTATATATATCTATATCTATATCTATATCTATATCTATATCTATATCTATATCTATATCTATATCTATATCTATATCTATATCTATCTATATCTATATATAAAAGCCTAAGCAACAGTTAAGACCCATAGACTGAGCAGCTGGTTGCTATGACGTGCACTGACCACCAGGGGGCAGACGCTCCGGGCAGGAGATGCTCAATGTCAGGGGTCCTCAAACTACGGCCCGCGGGCCACATGCAAATACAAATATTGTATTTGTTCCCGTTTTGTTTTTTTACTTCAAAATAAGATATGTGCAGTGTGCATAGGAATTTGTTCATAGTTTTTTTTTTTAAACTATAGTCCGGCCCTCCAACGGTCTGAGGGACAGTGAACTGGCCCCCTGTTTAAAAAGTTTGGGGACCCCCTTGCTCAATGTGGTCAGTGTGCTTCCACAGCCAACCTCCCGCGGTCCTTCCTCCCGGTCGGCTGGCCCCAGTCAGCCCTGGTCGGGACTGGGCAAGACGGCCCTGATCAGCCTCGATCACTAGCCGGGCAGAGGGACCCCATCTGTGCACGAATCCATGCACTGGGCCTCTAGTAAGTTATAAAGCCTGTGTTACACCCGGCTCCCCCGAGACGCCCGCCATCTGGAGGCGGAGCCAGGGCTGCAGGCGCAGATGTTGGGGTGATGACATGACCCCCCGGCCAACTTCCCCAAGCTCAACAGGCCTCATTCTCAAGTGGGAGCCTCAGTTCTCTTTTCTTCACTTCCCTCATCACTTACCGTCGTCCTAGTCTTCATCTTTGATCCAACCCATCTTTCTAGTCCCACTGCCACCATCTTCCAACCTCATTGTCACAAACCCGAGCTGTTGCAGGAGCCTGCCACCCCGCCTGCTCACTCCCACGCCACTCCCTTGTCCACAAACCATGCTGATCCTTAAAACTAAAACTGAGCTCAAGTCAGACTCTTGAACGTGGCATTTAGGGCCGCTGGAGACGTGGCTTCAGCCCATCTTTCCAAGCTGATTTCCCTTGGTTCCCTAAGCAGCTACAATTGGAGAATTTGTCTCAACTGCTCCACAAAGTGTCTTCTTAAAATTCGAGTGGATTTCAGCGATTCGGGCGATTTCATTTAAAAAGCCCACGATTCCAGCTTCTTTTGAAACAGCAGTGGCGCTGGCAGCCGTGGGCCAGTGTTCTCGCGTCCAGGACCTGGTTTAAGCTGAGAAGTGGCTGCCCCTGACGTAGGGCTGTGTCCCCAGTTCGCCCGAGTCTCTTCCAAACACTCCTCGTCTCTAAGCCTGAGGACCAGTTGCTGTGCTTGCCCTGATGCTTTTCATAAAACAGAGAAAGAGGTTTTTGGTTTCCGTGTCTCTCTCACAAGTGCACAGATGGAGAGGAGACCACAGAGAGAGGAAGCACCCAGCCTCCTTGACTTCCTGGCTCTTACTCCATAGCCATTTGCACTTTCTACTCAGGCCCTAGAGCAGCGGTTCTCAACCTGGGGGTCGAACGACCCTTTCACAGGGGTCGCCTAAGACCATCCTGCATATCAGATATTTACATGACGATTCATAACAGTAGCAACATGACAGTGATGAAGTAGCAACGAAAATAATTTCATGGTTGGGGGTCACCACCACATGAGGAACTGTATGAAAGGGTCGCGGCGTTAGGAAGGTTGAGAGCCACTGCCCTAGAGGCACCCTTACATGCGGCTAGCTTGCTGTCTCAGCCTCGGTGAGCCCGAGGGCCATGTCTCTGCACCATCTCCACAGAGTAAGTTCTATTCCACAGGGTCCATGCTGGTCCTACTTGGAAACCTTCCCCGACAACCAACCATCCGACCAACCCCACCCACTCACCTCGGCCTTTCTGGAGGCCACCTACCGGGTTAGACGGGTGTGACCAAGCCACCACCATCTCTCCCTCCTCTGCATGTCTATGGCTGTGCCTGAATCGATCGCTGTCTCACACGTGGTGGGTGATCAGTAAATAATTATTAGCTGGGTAAGTGGCACGGTCACAAAGCCCCCTCGTTAGACTGTAAGACCTTTGAGAGCGGGGTTCAAATGGTCTCTCTGCACCGCCCTAGCAGCTAGCACAGTGCCCGGCACGTAGCTGACCTTCGGTAATGTCTGAGAAAATATGTGCGATAAAGGGGGGGCCTCAGACCAGCAACAGATACCGAGGTTCAATCCTGCCCCACAGCTGGGAGCATCACACCCCTCCCCCCTCATCCCCGAAGCCTTCGAGGTACAAAGGAAGGGAGAGGCAGACCCAGAGAGCAGAGGCCTTACTCAGTTTTAAAAGTGGGGAGCACTTCACAGCCACCTTGACCTTGGAGGCTCTGTTCAGGATTCAGCCGAAGTCGCATTCAGGACCCAGCTATATCCGTGTGACCTTGTGAGCGGAAACCCAGCCTGATTCTGATTCTAAATTCCAAGCTCTAGAATAATAATAGTTCACGTGTACTGAGGCACTCTCGGAGCCAAGCACTGCCAAATGCGTCGTATCCACGGCCTCCTTCCCTCCTCGCCGTCCCCTGGAGTCAGTGTTGTATGCGTAGCTTGCCCAAGGCCAATAGTAACAGGCTGAGCCAGGAGTCCGGGTCCACATGGGCTGACTCCGGGGCCCTTCTGAGCATCTAAGGCTGAAGAGGGAGGCTGGGCAGGACCCAGAGACTCAGCTGTCGGCTAATTTGGGCTCTAGCTTACGTGCCAAGTAGTAAACCTCATGCAAATGCCAACCCTCAGTGCCTTTCACTCATCTTTTCTTGCCTTCTTCTTTAACTCCCTACCTAAGGAATTAAATATGTAGCTTCAGAACCAAGAAACTCTTTAAAAGTTCAAAAAGAACAGGTCAGATTTTTAAAAATCAAACTGACATTGTAACTTCAAACTCTTGACTGACAAGCCTGTGCTCACAGGAGGAAGGGCAGAGAGGGAGAGCCGCAGGGAGCTGAGCCCTCCCTGTGCCGGGACCGACAGGCTTTTATATTTTATCTCTGAACCTGACGAACACGAAGGTAGTCTTGTTCTATTGTGCAGAAGAGGGCAGCGAAGCTTTCACACATTGTACAACTTTGCAGAATTCTACTGGTTGAATTCTGGTGCTTGGATCAGGGCTGGTGCTTGGATCAGAAGCGAGTCCCGGCTGTCCGGAAGGTGTCGGGCATCCAACCGCTCTTCTGGGTCAAAGAAACCATTGACTTAGGAGTTATGGGCCCCTCTCACCTTAGTCCCTCACAGCCCAGAGGTCATTCTAGACTTCCTTCTCCCTGTAGTCCAGATTTTTTTAGATGGGCCCATATGAGGGGAAAAAAGGCCTCTTTATCTCCCTGGCCTCCTAGCTATGAATTTATCAGGTTTACAAAATACTCCTTTAAGTCTCCCTTTTTATTACAAAAGTGCACCCTCCCCTCCCTCCCCTCCCCTCCCCTCCCCTCCCCTCCCCTCCCCTCCCCTCCCCTCCCCTCCCCTCCCCTCCCCTCCCCTCCCCTCCCCTTCCCTTCCCTTCTCCCCTCCCCTTCCCTTCCCTTCTCCCCCCCTTCAGTAAGTACATATGAGTGCTTACTCTGGGCTCTTATAGGCACTCAAGGCAGTAGTTGTGAACAAAACATAAGAATTTAAACCCCAAAATAAGAATTCCTGTCATTACCGACCTTAAATTCTAAGGAAAACAGAGAAACAAGACAAAAGTGGGAAAGGGGTTGGCATTTTGGCTAGGGAGGCCAGAGGAGACTTTTTTTTTTTCTTCAATAAAAGGAGGCCCCATTTTTTTTTTTTTTAAATATATCTTTATTGATTTCAGAGAGGAAGGAAGAGGGAAAGAGATAGAAACATCAATGATGAGATAGAACCACCGATTGGCTGCCTCCTGCACGCCCCCTGCTGGGGATCAAGCCCGCAACCCAGGCATGTGTCCTCGACCGGAATCGAAAGCGGGACCCTCAGTCCGCAGGCTGATGCTCTAGCCACTGAGCCAAACCAGGTGGGGCCAGAGGCGATTCTGAGAAGGTGAATTTAAAAAGACTTGAAGTAGCCGAAACCGGTTTGGCTCGATGGATAGAGCGTCGGCCTGCGGACTGAAGGGTCCCAGGTTCGATTCCGGTCAAGGGCATGTACCTGGGTTGCGGGCACATCCCCAGTGGGAGATGTGCAGGAGGCAGCTGATCGATGTTTCTCTCTCATCGATGTTTCTAACTCTCTATCTCTCTCCCTTCCTCTCTGTAAAAAATCAATAAAATATATTTTTAAAAAAACCAAAAAACAAATAAAAAGACTTGAAGTAGATGTGTAACAGTCAACTGCGGGCTGCTCCCTCCAAGCACTCCTCCAGCCTGGCTGGTGTGGCTCAGTGGAGGTCCCGGGTTCGATTCCCGGATGTGGCACATGCCCGGTTGCCGGCTCAATCCCTAGTAGGGGATGTGCAGGGGCAGCCAGCTGATGTGTCTCTCGCATCAGTGTTTGTATCTCTCCCTCTCCTTTCCTCTCTAAAAAATTTAAAAAACGAACTTCAGCAGGAAGACAACCTAGACCGCGGGGAAAGCTACTCAAACACGATTGCAATAGTTTAGGAGGGAAAACTCACAACGATTGAAGGTGAGTCTTTGCCTTCGCAACAGTTCCTTTTGTTCTTTCTGATTTTGCTCTAGGTCAGGGGTGGGCAAACTTTTTGACTCGAGGGCCACAATGGGTTCTTAAACTGGACCGGAGGGCCGGAACAAAAGCATGGATGGAGTGTTAGTGTGAACTAATATAAATTCAAAGTAAACATCATTACATAAAAGGGTACGGTCTTTTTTTTTTTTTTAGTTTTATTCATTTCAAACGGGCGGATCCGGCCCGCGGGCCGTAGTTTGCCCACGGCTGCTCTAGACAGTGTCTCCCTTCTCCAATCTCCCACAAGACTCGCCTCTGCTCTGCCAGGTCTGTCCTTCCCGTCTTCACCCCAGCTCCCTCCAGGGCAGCCAGGAGATGAGGTGGCAGCCGTGGCAACTGAGCAGTGAGCAGGGGAACTAGCATGCGTCCTTCAGTTACATGGATCCAGGCAGAGTGTAAAGTGGTGGCCGGAGCAGGAGGTGGGCAGCCCTGGGCCTGACACACCTGGAGATCTGGGAAGCGTCTTCAGGGGCAGACGCCCAGGACTGCCGCCCAGGTCTCCTAAAGTGAGATGTAAACACATACATTTTTTTGTTTGCTTTTGGGTATGTCTCCTTTGTGGTAAAATTCACATACTGTACTAGTCTATTCACAGACCTGTACAACCATCAGCATAATATTTAAACATTTTCAGCAACCCCCAAAATAAACGTTGTATCTATAAGAAGTCACATCTTGCCCTGACTGGTTTGGCTCAGTGGATAGAGCATTAGCCTGCGGACTGAGGAGCCCCAGGTTCGATTCCAGTGAAGGGCACATGCCAGGTTGTGGGCTCACTCCCCCAGTAGGGGGTGTGCAGGAGGCAGCCGACCCATGATTCTCATCATTGCTGTTCCTATCTCTCTCTCCCTCTCCCTTCCTCTCTGAAATCAATAAGGTCCCTTCTTGCCAGGTTGGTACAGCTCAGTGTTTGAGCACCGACCTGTGAGCCAGAGGTCACAGTTGGATTCCCAGTCAGGGCACACGGGTCAGGGTTGCGGGCTCAGTCTCCTGTAGGGGGTGTGCAGCAGGCAGCTGATTGATGTTTCTCTCATTGATGCTTCTATCTCTCCCTCTCCCTTGCTCTCTCTGATATCAATTAAAAAATATTTAAAAAGTCACTTTTTAATTCCCCTCAATCTCCACCCCCCACCCTCACCCCAAATCGAGGTCACCCCTAATGTACTTTCTGTCTCTGCAGATTCGCCTATTCTGGACAGGTCATACAAATGGCACACTTGGTTTTTCACTTCTTTTCTTTTTTTGGAAGGTGGGTGACCACTGAAGAATATGCAAAGGGGGATTGAAATATCAGAAATTGAGAAGCTTGCCCTGACCAGCTAGCTCAGTTGGTTAGAGCGACATCCTGATACACCAGAGTTGTGGGTTCAATCCCTGGTCAGGGCACATACGAGAAACAACCAACGGATGCATAAAGAAGTGGAGCAGCGCCCTGGCCGGTGTGGCTCGGTGGACAGAGCATCAGCTTGGGGACTGAAGGGTCCCAGGTTCGATTCCGGTCAAGGGCACAGGCCTGGGTTGCGGGCTCGATCCCCAGTGGGGGGCGTGCAGGAGGCAGCCACTCAATGATTCTCTCTCATCATTGATGTTTCTAACTCTCCCTCTTCCTTCCTCTCTGAAATCAATAAAAAAAAATATATTTTTAAAAAGCAGTGTTTCTCTCTCCCTCCCTCTCTCTCTCAATCAATCAATTAAAAATAAATAAATAAATAGATAAATAAATAAAGTTGAGAAGCTCTTCTGGAAAGATAAGGGTAAGAGAAAGAAAAGGCAGGAGAGGGAGATAACTTGCTTCTGTTTTATTTTTTTGTTGCTCTACTCCTGCTTTGTAAGTTACCCCAAATGTCCATAGCATAGGCATACTAAGTAAATGAAGTGGGAAATGTTACAAGTTAAATGATCTGTTTTTATCTCTGGAAGGTTTCTTTACCTGCTCTTTCATATTTATGCCTCCTGTTGGCCAACACTATGTGTAAATGGACTGATCATTGTATCAAGTCAGAAAACCTGGATTTCCCCCTTATAGAAGCAGCTTGACTTAGCTGCTTTCAAAATTTTCCATAAAATGAGAGGGAGGGGGTTAAAGGATAGAGGATTAGTCCACTCTCCAGCATCATCTCCTGAGTTGCAGGCAATTAGCCTGTCCAGTATCTGGTGAGAGTCCCTGTTTTATTTTTAGGTGCCCTTCTAGACTTTTCCTGCCATTCCTGGGACTTCTGGGTAAAGAAAGTGAAGGAGGATGAGAACACAGCAATATGAATTGCTTACAATTTGTATAACACGTCATGCATTTGCAAAGCCTTTACCCGTGCTGTCAAGGCCGTTTCATAGTTAGGAAGAACCAGAAGGGACCTAAGATGGCATCGAGCCCAATACCTGCGCACTGAGATGAGGAACAAACACTGAAAATAGGATGTGACCTGCCCAAGGCCTCGCCGCGAGTGAGTGCCGGCGCCCGGGCTGGTTCCGGGCTTTCTGGTCCTAACCTTACACGTGATCAGGAGGAAGCCGAAGCCCAGGGCCTGTCAGGCGGGGCCGACTTCTTGGAGATCATCTCTTGAGTCCGGTCCCTCTTTTCACAGGGACTTAGGCAAGTTGCCAGCCCCGGACTGAGGTGTTTCAGAATTTGCTGGGCCTGGATCCAGACCTCCGGACTCGCACGGCAGCCTGCATGAGTAACGGCGGCCTGTGATCACAGAAACTGGGGGTCAGAAACGGCTCTCCCGGCGCCGGGCGTGGGGATCCCTCGGGCAGGGCTCAGGGGTCCCTTCCCCGGACAGAAACCAGGTCCTCGCGACTGGCGGGGAGCAGCCAGCGGAGAGCCAATCCTGGGCCGCGCCGTGATAGGGGCGGGACGTCCGCGTCCTCGCCCCGCCCACTTCCGGCAACCGAAAAGCTGTGCGGTGACCTAGGCAACGCATCCAGCGTCACTGCCACCGGCTAAAGGTGCTGCGCTCCGCCCCTCTTGGCAGGACTAAACGGAAAGCGAAGTCCGTTAAGGGCACAAAGGACGGAGGTTTGATCGGCTGTTGGATGAGTCCGGTACAAGCACCGGAGTGTCTGGGGCTGAGAGAAAGGCGGCCTCGCCCGCGGTAGACACGGCGAGGGCGGGAGGCACGCTTCTGAGAAGCTGAGCAGAGAAGGGACTTCGGTGGCTGAAAAGTCGGTGTTTCCAGTTCAGGATAACGGTTCTCCTAGGTGAGGGCGAAGGTAGCGGGACTCCAAGAACCCTGGGTCCCACCGTCCGATATTGCTATATTTCTCCATAGTAGTGCTGTGGGGAGGGAATACGGGCATTTAGTGTTTACATTTAACATTTCTCGAGCGGCTCTTGTGTGCCAGGCACCGTGCTAAGTGTGTGCGCTCAGTGAACAAAACAAAGATTGCTGCCTTCTTGGAAGTTTGTATTCTAACAGGAGCAGAAAATACGTTACGCAGGCCATGGGGGTGGGGAAAGCAGAGCGAGCGAAGATGGAGCAGTTCGCACCATTAAGTAGGTGGCCGCTTAGGCACCAGCGAGAAAGTGAGATCTGAACGTAGAATTGAAGGAGGCAAAATGGCTAGCCAGTGCGCTCCCTGGGAGCAGAGCATTCCCGGCCAGAGGAACGGCTGACTGGCCTCATGAAGAACAGCAAGGAGAGAGTGGCAGAGCAGTGTGTGCGGGGAGAGCGGCAGGTGAGAGGGACACAGGCCTTGGATGGTCTTGGATGCTTAGCTGTTACTCTGACATAGGGAGCCGTATCATCTGAGATATGTGTGTGTGTGTATATATATAATTGATTTCAGAGAGGACGGGAGAGAGAGAAACATCAATGATGAGAATCATTGATCGGCTGCCTCCTGCACGCCCCCTACTGGGGGTCAACCCCACAACCCGGGCATGTGCCTTTGACTGGAATCAAACCCTGGACCTTTCAGTCCGCAGGCTGATGCTCTATCCACTGAGCCAAACCAGCCAGGGCATGACTTATATTTTAAAATAACCATGCTGGCTGCTGTGTTGAGAATCAGTGGAGTGTGTGTGTGGGGGGGAGGCAAGAATAGAAGTAGGGAGGCCTGCTGGTTATTGCAATAATGCATGGCACAATATGTAAGGAATTGATGGTAATTTGCACTGGGTGGTGGTGATGGGCGTGGTCAGATTCTGGATATACTTTGAAGATAGAGGTTATGTTAAGGGCGGGAGGGGGCAATAGAATAGAACTGCCTATCATCGTGGAAAAATGAGCCTTGTTGCTGAAACAATGGAGCCCCCAGGTGCCGACCTTTGCAACCCTCAGCCCACAGTACCTGTAATCTGTGACCATTAAACCCATTCCTATTCCTGGTTTGAGTCCTGGCCTGCAGCCTCAGCCATTCCCATGGCTCACCTAAGTTCGTTCTGTAACTCTATAAGGAGGGAGCCTACCATTACCAGCATAACAAAAAGAGGTTAACCCTTTGTACACCATAAGCATCTATAGACACTTTAAAAAATCATTTTTCGTGAGAAATTTCAACTGAAAATATTCAAGAACACCCAGATTGTGAGTAACGTATTTATTTTTATAACAGTCATTGCAAATTGATTTTTCAAATTAAATTCAGAATATCGTGGCATGTGGGATGTTTCCGTTTGGGAAGCGGGGCAGTTGACGGAGCAATAGCGTCAGCAGGCTCCACGGGTGGAGATCATTGCGGTTGGTGCCACCGTCCTGAGGAGGTCTCTTTGGATCAGATCCTGTGCTGTTTGGGGGCATGAGGACGGTCAGTTGTCCTAAGGAGCAAGGCCCCCAGTGCTGTTGGCAGGGATCTGTGACTAAACAATTACCCCCCATATCGGAAACCAGTCAGCTGGCAGCTTGGTATGCCCGTTACTATAAGGGAGGGTGAAATTACCAGAACAATACTGCTGTAGTTATTGGATACTGACAGACAATAACCAGACACCCGCTCAAAGCCAGACACGCACCACAGGAAGCTACCGCAGCAACCTTCAGAGACAACATCCCTGCATCCTTTTCTCAGACAACAGGTCCCAACGTATAAAGGCCCCATCTGTGACTCTCCTCCCAAAAATAATAGAATGACCACAATTCTGTATCATAGCAATCAGTGTCCCAACTCCTACTAGGCAAGATGTAAAGGTCTGTTCTGCATACGTTCCTTCTGAAAGGCAAAAGTCAGAGATATTAAGAACGTTTTGTTTTTTGTTTTGTTTGTTGTTGTTTTTTGCTAAATCCATCCAAATATTTTCATCTCTTCGGAACAGAACTAGTTTTCCTTCAGCCAGACCCGCTGTGGTCGGGAGTGCGATGACTAGTGTAATGAACGCTGCCTTGGAAAGGTGACCTTGAGGTGTTCCTTGGGTTTGGTCACCCTTCTCCCCTTCGGCACCTTCGTACTCTGGTGTGAGGGACCCTTGCCAGCTTCAGAGCAGCTGGAGGGGGAGAAGCACGCCCAGGGTCCCACCTGTTTTCCTCCAGCGGGTCGTCTGGCGATCCAGTTCCCACATCTCGAGTAGAAGTCTGTCTCCTGCTTGGAAGGGATGCGGCGGGCCTGTGACAGAAAAACCCCTGCACAAGCCAAAGCCTTCATTACACTCAGGGTTTGATTCAGACGCTGCATGTCATCCTTAATTTTAACATCATGATCTACACGTACATCTCCTGTTCCTATAGCAGCCGGAAGGCTCACCCATACACTATATTTTAGGGACTCGAATCAAGCCCGCTTCGGGGAGCTACTCGAGTCCTGGGCAGGGCAATTGGCAGCACCCATCCCAATGCAGACGTGTCTTCCCACATAGTTTGGCATATTCTCCTTTAAGGTCTGTTCATTTTCTCAACCTTCCCCGAGGCCTGTGGTCTCCAGGCTGTATGTTGCAGTGGGAGCCCTAAGAATCGGAGTGAGAGCCCCAAGTCCGATTCCTTTCCTCTCATGCACACACGGGTGAAACGGTTTCAACAGATCTGGGGGCCCAAAGCAGGGCCTGTAAGGTCTCAAAGGCGCGTTCACATTCCTTACCCCAGTCCAGGGTCTCCTCTGGCCCCTTCAGAGCCTCATACGGGGTCTCGCTATGAGTCCGAATGTGGCGGCACCCAGCCACTCCCCCAGATCCTCTCACTGCCTCCTGGTCTTCGGGGGCTGCACCCGAATGCTAGTGTCCTTACAATAGTGCCCCCTATTCAACGCCGGTTGCCAGGCCCCAGGAGAAACCCCAGGAAGCTGGCGGCCTGCTTGCAGAATCTGAGCTCTGGGGGCGAGACCTTATAGCTACAGCTTGCTGGGTGCTTGGGGAGTCCGTAATGCTCGTCAGACAGTGCTCACAGGCGGGCCCTGCGACCAGCAGATCGTCCACATATTTAGCGAGGCTCCCTTCTGAAGCTGAACCTTTCAGGTCCTTGCTTAGCCTCTCCCCGAAAATGGTGGGGGAGCTCTTGAACCCCTGAGGAAGGACTGTCGCATTGTTCTGAGTCTTTTTAAAAAATTTATTGTCTAAAGTTTTACATATGTCTCTTTTTTCCCCCCTTGAC